AAAGGAGTTCGTGCCCCTCTTGCCCATATCCTCTGAAGCCACACTGTACAGTTAGGTCCTGTCCACTCAGGACACCCTCTCCAGACCCCAGGTGGAGGTGCTCTGCCCCCAGTGCCCACCTGGGTCTCAGGAGTAGAAGAGACACAGCCTGGGGGAGTCTCTTCTCTGGCCTAGGGAGCGTCACACCAGCCACCCTTTCTCCCTGCCCATAATAAATAAGGAGGGTTGTTGGCACCTGGGCGAGTGATGCTGTGGGCACCTGGACTGCCTTGTCCTTGTGATTTGATGTGAAGACAACACAGAAGGGGAACCAGCCAAGAGGGGTCCAGGCAGCAGCGAACCCCTCTTCACAGGGACCCTGTGAGACCCAAGACTCACTCTGCCCACCCTGCTCCCACTTTTGGAACTGGCCTTTGTCATTCTCTGGGCAGGAGGTGGGAAGGACAACCCGGTCTCTCTTCCACCTCCTGAGACCCAGGTGAGCACTGGGGGCAGCAGCACTTCCACCCGGGGTCTGGAGAGGGTGTCCTGAATGCACAGGGCCTAACCGTTCAGTGAGGCCGGCCCTTGTCCACAGTGCACTGACCTGCTGCAGGGTCTTGGGTTCCAAGGCATCCAGCTCACCCATTGCCAACCCCAGCTTGTTGTCTTGGGAGCCCCTCACTGGCAGGCACCCAGGAGGTGAAAGCTGCATGCCCAGCGAGGAGGAGAAGCTGGTGGGGCAGGGGTCCAGCATGGAGTGTCCAAGGCCCCTCTGCTCCCCCAGGAACACCCAGACTTGCTTGCCATGGCCTTTCTCCTCTTCAGTATGTGTCTTTGTGTCTGATGTTAGAAAGGAGTTCTAACACCTTCCTCTGGAAGAGAAGGCCCCATGACTGTGGAAGGGGTTGAGGTGAGGAGGCGCTGTAGCCCTAAACCCAGGGAGCTTGAGAACTAACTTCCCTGAGCCCTGAACCTACTGCCTGTTACATCTGTACCAACCAAGGCCAGAATCCAGACAGAGTCTCTGTGGAAACACTTTTCTGTCCAACAAGAGAGGACTTGCTAACCCACAGCCGAACCCCGAGACGTGGGATGTGCTCTAACTGTGGAGACTGCAGGGAAGGTGTTTGAGAGGCTTCTTCCCAGGCGGCTCCCCTGAGGCCCCTGGAGTTACTGGACCCAGAGGCGGAACACTCGCGCTTCTCTCCTCACTGCAGGCCAGACGGTGCCCCCAACCGCACAGCCCTGCTCCCCCAGCTCCCTGAGTTCAACAGAGACCCCCCCGGTCATGAGGCCAAAGTGCAGTCTTCTTGGTGAGCAGAGCAGAGGCCAGTGGGAAGGTGGGTGGAGGCTGAAATCTTTCATAGAAGAAAAACACGCATGTGTGTTGCCGTGTGTGGTGGCCAGATGCTGCAGTAATTGGTGTTCCCTACACATTTATGGGTGGGTCTTAATTTCTGTATTTTCTAAATTTCTTTTTTTTTCTTAAACAGCTGCATATTATGAGAAAATTTTTGCAATCAACCATGAGAACTTGCAAAATAAGATCTTTTTTTTCTTTCGCTAAAGTGTTGCAGTTTTCTATGGTGACAGATGAACATCCTCTTACTTTTAAAATTTCATTTAATCGGCTGCGCTGGATCTTAGTTGTGGCATGCAAGGTCTTCAGTTGCGGCATGTGGGATCTAGTGCCCTGACCGGGGATTGAACGTGGCCCCCCTGTGTTGGGAGCTCAGAGTCTTAGCCTCTGGACCAGCAGGGAATGCTGCAACCTCCTACTGTAAAAAAGATGATTTATTTATTTTTGGCTGTGCTGGGTCTTCGCTGCTGTGCAGGCTTTTCTCTGGTTGTAGGGTGTGGGGGCTGCTCTCTTGTTTCTGTGCTGAACTGCTCCCTGTGGTGGCTGCTCTGGTTGGGAAGCACGGGCTCTAGGCACTTAGGCTGCAGTTCTTATGCATGGGCTTAGTTGCTCCACGGCACGTGGGGTCTTCCCAGATCAGGGATTGAACCCGTGTCTCCTGCATTGGCAGGTGGATTCTTAACCACAGCACCACCAAGGAAGTCATTCCCCTCCCCGCTTCCTGCCAACATCCCACTTTAAAAAAAGACTGAAAAGAATCTGTTTAGTAAGTTTTCAGGAGTCTGATCTCTGAGGTCAGCGTCTGTGGTGTCATTCTCCCAAAGGCATCTTGGCTTCAGAGCCAAGCCATGGCTGGGCTCATGAGTCTGGTGACCAGGGTGGGTCTGGCGGCTGAAGACAGGCTTGGCCTCACTGACTCTCCCAGGGTCCCCGAGTCCTGGCAGCCAAGCAGAGCCGCGCGCAGGCAGGGCTGGTACAGCCGTGGGGCCGCTGCGGTCAGGGTGGAGCGTGCAGCGGAGACAGCTGGCTGTCCATCCCGTGACTGCTGGTGTCCTGTGTGCCCGTGCAGGGCAGTCACGGTGTCAGGTGAGGCCTGGCCGCTGTCCTGGGGACAGGATGGGACCTCAGACAGCTAACATACCCACTCCCCACCTCCCAACTCCACTTCAGCTCCTGGCTTGTGGCTGCGGGTAGCTCTCTGGGCTGGGAGGCTGTGTAAAGCACCAGCCCCCTTGCTCAAGGTCAGCTGAGACCCCCAGCTCTGGGGTTACACACCATCCCTGCCTCCCTGCAGGTCATCCCACTTCTGTGAGAGAGGGCCTGTGCGGGACTGTGGGTGATGGGGGATTTGGGGGTGTTGGCCAAATTTGGGGGTGTTTGCTGGCCCAGGAGCCATTTTTTTTGAGGGGAGGGGAGGGAGAAGCTTTGACCTGCTCAGGGTTCCAGGGGATTCCAGGCCCAGCTCTGGTGGGAGGTGCAGGTGAGAAGCCCCTGCAGGTTTCTGGGTCCCCACCGTTGTTCAGTTGAAGCCCCTCTGCCTGCACCACCCCTAACTCTCCCTCCTGTGGCCCCTGCCTAAAGTCACAGAAGATGGGGAGTCTATACGGTTTCCCTTCCTATAGGGAAACCAAGCCACAGACAAACATGTTCCTTTAAGAAAGCATGAAAGAAAGGAGAAAATAATAGTGGGTGGTTATTACTGACATGGTTCATGTAGAGACGCTTCACAAATCTGGCACAAGGAGGGAACTGAGGGCCATTGCCCCCAGTCCTGGAGTTCGCACCCTCTGCCCGCTGCCCGGTGGCCCACTCTCCCCTTGGTGTCTTCTGGTGACCGGGCAGACTTCAGCCTCTTGAACCCCTTCTGGAAGGATCAGGACAGGGCAGAGGTCATTCACAGAGGGGAGGGTGTGGTCGACCTTAAGAACGCCATTGCCTCTACTCTGTGTCGGAGCTCAGTTCTGGGTCTAAGCAAGCGCGGCTTCCTGGGGCGGTCACCAGCTTCACTCACCCAGGGTGGGGAACTTTGTGTCCACCTTGTCCCCACGTGTAGCCTGGTCACCCCAGGGACCCATGCTGTGTGCATCTTCTCTGCTCACAGCACACCCTGTGGTCCATCAGACTTCACTCATGAAAGGGAAGTGTAAGGATGAACTATTCCATGGTTAACAATTTCAAGGTCGCGACAGCGTTGACCAGAGCACACGGGCACAGGTACGAGGCCCGTGCATTAGAGAAGCCGTGGTGTGGGCTTCGAGGACCCTCTGTGTGGGGGTGGGATGGGGGCCGGACAGGGATTTCCTGCACACGCGGCTCCAGGCTCTGTTCTTGGCAGGGCGGACAACTGTCGGCCCTGCCTGTGTGTGTGGACGGGCTCTGGGGCTGCCCTGCCCAGCAGGAATGGCGGTGGTGGGAAGGGAGGGCGACCTCCCTTAGCACCCCTGACCTCACACCTCCTCATCAGGGCAGCCCAGTGCCTAAACGGCCCCTTCCTCATCTAGCTCTGAAGACCTGGAAGGTGTGGGGGCTGAAGGACATGCAGAAAACAAAATTCTGTAAAGCAATTATCCTTCTATTAAAAAATAAAAAAAGATTAAAGAAAAAACCACAAAGAACAGCAAAGGCGGGGCTTGCATTCTCAGCCAGCCTCTGCCAGATTCCGCCTGTGCTTACGCATCAGACCAAAATGCTGGTGCTCCCACCCCGTTTCACAGATGAGAATAGAGACAAAGAGAGGTTGAGCATCTTGCCCCAGCTCACACACCTGCTGGGGTCAGGGCTGAGAACTGGACCCCTGTGGTCGAATCTGGAGTCCAGATGCTGTGATGACCCCGAGGGAGCGGCAGAGACCAGACGGCCCATGCTGAGCCAGGCGCGCACGCACACACACACATGTGCACGTGGCCTTCACCTTTGCGGCTACAGAAGTCAGAGGGAACCAGAGGGCCACCCGGAGAGGCCAAAGGAGAGCCGAGGTCTATAAGGAGGAGAGGCCACACTTCCCAGGAGGCCGGGGAATTCCCTTCCCTGGTGAGTCTGACTCAACCCCTAGATTCCTCTCCCTGGACCCAGGAACTGACTGTCCAGTGACCTAACTGAGTTGGCTCCAGATTTATGCCTTCCCAGGGGTTCAGCTACCACTGGACTCCACTGCTGTCAGTAATAACAGGGAATGAGTACATAGTCTGGGCTTCAGATTTGTTTGGAGACAAAATTTATTAGAAGAGGAGTACAAAAAATCACGAAGGCAATTGGCACGAACATCTCCAGAACACTTAAGAAACCCTCTGCTGTTTATCTACCTCCTCTCATGTCACGAAAGTGGAAGGTCTATTTAAGAAGTAATCCTGTGCTTATCACACTCTTTCTTTAAAATAGTTATTGTATATTTATTTATTCGGCCGTGCTGTGTCTTAGTTGCAGCATGTGGGAGCTAGTTCCCCAATCAGGTATTGAACGTGGGTCTCCGCATTGGAGTCTTGGCCACTGGGCCACCTGGGAAGTCTCTCCTCATGCTCCTGGGGACAGTAACGGGTCACAGACCTCCTCTGAGGCCCCCTTAGAGCTGAGGCATGGGGTGGCTGCAGTAATCCTCCTGTGGCTAAAATGTGGTTTGTTGGTCACGACTCACTCACACTCCCTGCAAACATAGGGCTACTCCCCTGTGTTTGTCCTCTGGTGTCTGATGAGATGGGCCTTCTGACTGAAGCTTTGCCCACACTCCCTGCAAATATAAGGTTTCTCCCCTGTGTGTGTTCTCTGGTGCGTGATGAGGACTGACTTAGCATTGAAGCTTCGCCCACACTCCCTGCAAACATAGGGCTTCTCCCCTGTGTGTGTCCTCTGGTGTCTGATGAGGACTGACTTCTGACCAAAGCTTTGCCCACACTCCCCACAAACATAGGGCTTCTCCCCTGTGTGTGTCCTCTGGTGTGAGATGAGATTTGACTGATCACTGAAGCTTTGCCCACACTCCCTGCAAACATAGGGCTTCTCCCCTGTGTGTGTCCTCTGGTGTGAGATGAGATTTGACTTCTGACTGAAGCTTCGCCCACACTCCCCACAGACATAAGGCTTCTCCCCTGTGTGTGTCCTTTGGTGTCTGATGAAATTTGACTTGTGATGGAAGCTTCGCCCACACTCCCTGCAAACATAGGCCTTCTCCCCTGTGTGTGTCCTCTGCTGTGTGATGAGACTTGACCTGTCCTTGGAGCCTTGCCCACACTCTCCGTACGTGACTCTCATAATCCCTGAGACCCCTGCCCCCATGAATAACTTGCCTGTGTCCTCTGGATTCAGTTTCTGGCTTGTGCTGGGTTCTTCTGTCATTCTCTCATGCACCCCAGAACCCCCCATTTGTCCTTTGGGTGAGTAGGAAGAGGCCCTTGAAACCCTCTTCAGCCTTATGCTTTTCAGCAAAGGTTGGGGCCTGTCCTTGGCCTCATGACCCTCAGGTTTGTCGCTCGGGCTGTGTGGATCTGAATATCGCTGCTGCTGATTTTGATTGCCTGGGCAGGGATCCTCTGGTTGGAGGAGGTCTCTTTCAGATGGTCTCAGGAGGGTCTGAGAGGGGTGACTGCGTTGGATGTGTTGGCTGAGGAATTTCTGACTGGAGAAGGCCAGAGAGCATGAGGCACATGGGTGGATCTTTGGCTTTGGTTCTGCTGAAAGAGGAAGCTTTTGGTCAGGTAGCTGGTTTGCCATGGTCAGGCCTGCCCCACTAATCATCTAAGTGTTGACAGTGCACGATTTGTCTCCCATCGAGTTTGCCTTTACAGTCCACTTTTCCATTCCACTCTTATTCTCTACATCTACAGAAATCCAGGAAGCTTGTGTCAAGGGCCTTTCCTACATATCACCCAGATAGGGACCTTCCAGCAGCATCAGAGGCAGTGTCTCTCCTGATAGAGGTGGACCTGTAGGGACCTTTCCCTGCGTGTAAGTGTCTGAAAGGTCACGTCACAGTGGCCACAGGTGTCTTACCCTACTGAGAGATAAGACTTGATGACTTAGGTGGAATCTCCTGAGAGGCTCCCTGTGAGGGGAAAGGGTCTATTAAGTTAGGGACGCCTGGCCTAGAGCTCTGCATATGGGAGGCAGCACAGGGAGTGGGTAGAGCATGTGTGAGTAAAGCTGAATTTGTGGCTCCCTGTTCAAAGAGCAGCCTTTGTGCCGATCTCTGCAGGAAGTGGATTTCAGACTGGGCGAGACCGAGCAGCCCAGGTCCCACTGACTACAGGTCTCTGGCTCCGGCTGCCCCAATTGGTTCACAAATTGCTCCTCTCTCAGTTTTCCATAAATCAGAAAATAAAGGCATGTCCTTTCTCAAGCCTCACCAGTATTCATACCTCATTTATTTCATTCAGTCTTAGTCCATTTAACATGCACTAGGAAGCCCTGTTTAAAAATACATCTCCAGCCAGACTCCTCACACCCTCACTCCCAAGCATCGTCAGCCAGCCCACTCTCCCCTCATGTCTGGCAATGAACTGACCTCTGAGGGGACTCCCTGCTGCTGTCTTCCCCAAAATGAATCAAAGCATCATCACAGAACAGAGAACATGCCGTTTGCAGCTGAAAGCCTCACGGTTCTGTGTTACCCAGGAAGACCCCTGGGGCCTGCACGAGGCTTCCGTGTCCCATCCAGCCTCCTTCCTCTCCCTCTGTGCTTCCTCCAGCGACCCCTGGCATGGCCTCTCTTCCCTGCAGCACTGGCTGCTCCCCTGCCTGGAGTCCTTCCCACGGGTGTTATATCTGCAGAGACCCTGCTGCACCATCCTGCACCACACCTCACCCTCTGCTCACGCTGACCCGAGGCACGTTCCCTGCGCTGGTTTTCCTCAGAGCACCAGCCCCTGCCTGGCATGAAGCCCCTGCTGCCCCAGGGCAGTGGTCCTGTCTGTTTTGGTGCGTGGAGCCCCGTCTGGCACAGAGTATGAACTCACATGACAACAAACTGGAACAGTAACTGAATGCACATCACTGTACATGTGTCGCTTAGAAATGGGAGGAAATGAGGAAGAAACAGGTAAAGCGGAGAGAGCTGGTAGATGTTAGAAAACTTGCTTTTTGCTTCTAAGCCTTTTAGCAGAAGGTGATGTTACATATTTTTTGCATGAAATATTAATAATTAGAACTAACATTTTTAATATAAAAATTTTTCCTAACAGTCATATGAAATGAATCAAATTCTGAGGCATTTTAATTGCAGCTCTACAGACTTTGGACTGGATTGTACTCTGCTTCGGAATCGGACCATGGAGGCTCCCCAGGATGGGGTGTGGTGCTGGAAGAGGGGTGACACTCACCTCTCCCGGTCGCGAGCTCACTCTTCCCCCTGCTGTTCCGCTTGATGCCGAGGCCCTGGCCATACTCATCCCCATACCAGACCAGCAGCTCACAGCCCAGCCTGACCACTTGGCAGGTTCGGTAGAAGATCTGCCCATGATACTGCAAGGCCACCAGGTTCTGCTCCTCATCATCCCGGGCACAGTTCACATACCTGGAGTCAAGGCTGGGAAAGGGAAAGAAACCTCAGGTGATGAGTGCCCTCCACTGTTAGACCATGCCCAGCTCCTTGCCTTCAGGCTCTGAGGCCACCCCTCATGGGAACCATCTGTTCACACCTTTGACCAGGCCATGTGAATTCCTATTTCCAGGTCCTGTTTCCAGTCTTCTTCCTGGCTGGAATGCTTTTCTCTCCTTACCTAATTAGCCATTTTCCAGAGTCCAGTTTCAGACTCATCTCTACCTGGACTGTCCATGAGGCTGGTGACCTCCAGCTCCTCTGAACTCTGAACTAAGTTCTCTTTCATCCCCAGGACTTGGTGCTCCTCGGCTAGCACGCAGCCCTCAGCACTCACCCCAGCCTGCCTTCTCTCCTGAGGATTTTCTCCCATCTCCCCATGTGTATCCAGGGTCATGTTTACTTGCCCACCCCCTCCCATGGAAACTTGGAGAGTGCTCTAACATAGCTTGAGACACGGAACAGTAATAGTTTATTCACTTTCTGCCTGCACTGATGAAAGGAGAGGCCCTCAGAGAATGGCCCTGCTCATGGCCATCCTGCCCTCTGTTCCTTCTGAGGCCTCAGGGCCCACTTCTCACTGGAACTGAGCCTGGGGAGGCTGTTGCCCACCTGGACTCAAGGTCTCCCATGTTAGGTTATCCTGGCACTGTGCAGTTACTCAAAGATAGAAGAAATAAGGTTACTGTTCCTAAAATCAATTGGCTAATGTCAGTCTGCAGTATGTTTTCCAAAAGGACATGGGTTGTGTGATCTGCTTCAGTAATGAAGTTCTCTGTTTAAACTGAAACATAAAGTACTTGGTAAGTGTCAATTAAGTGAGTTAAAGTGTCCCTTTAACTCACTTTAACTTTTAAGTTAAAGTGAATCTAGACTCCTCAAGTTGTTTTCAAGTCCCCCAGTTTTGTTCAGCATATAGACTTGTATTTTGAGGGTACATGCTATATTCTTATTTCCCTCTTTCTAATGTCTTTTGAAATGAAAGAGCATGATATGGAGGGACAGGTGGAAAGAAGATGTGAAAGCTGTTGAGGGAGACGGGTTGAGAAGGAAAGAGGTGTGGGATTGAGGGAGGAGGGACATCTACAAACTGCAGACTCACTGCACTCACCTCATCCAGTTGGCCCAAAATGTGTCCTTTCCATCCACATACTGGTAGCAGTTTCTCCCTTTGGTGATCTAAGTGTCAGAAAAAGACTTACAGGCTTTCCTCCCTCTTTTATTTATTTATTTATTTTTTGGTAGGAAGCAATAGAAGAACTATTTCCCTCTGCAGTCATTGGTGCTTTTCAGCCTGCATAGATTCAACTGCCAGTCAGACCACATGGTAAGCTCCTTACTCATCATTCCAAGTCTGAGTCTCTTGGTTCATCGAAGGCAAGGGCTCCACAAGGGAGGAGTCACTTCTGTGTGTCTGGACACTGTGTTCACACCTCTCCTCTGACCTTTAGATAGAGGTCCTGTGTGTCTGTACACTGTAGTCCCACCTCCCCTCTGACCTTTAGATAGAGGTCCTGAGTGTCTGTCCACTGTGTTCCCACCTCTCCTCTGACCTTTAGATAGAGGTCCTGTGTGTCTGTACACTGTGTTCCCACCTCTCCTCTGACCTTTGGATAGAGGTCCTGTGTGTCTGTACACTGTGTTCCCACCTCTCCTCTGACCTTTGGATAGAGGTCCTGTGTGTCTGTACACTGTGTTCCCACCTCTCCTCTGACCTTTAGTTGGAGGTCCTGTGTGTCTGTCCACTGTGTTCCCACCTCTCCTCTGACCTTTAGATAGAGGTCCTGTGTGTCTGTACACTGTAGTCCCACCTTCCCTCTGACCTTTAGATAGAGGTCCTGAGTGTCTGTACACTGTGTTCCCACCTCTCCTCTGACCTTTAGATAGAGGTCCTGTGTGTCTGTACACTGTAGTCCCACCTTCCCTCTGACCTTTAGATAGAGGTCCTGAGTGTCTGTACACTGTGTTCCCACCTCTCCTCTGACCTTTAGATAGAGGTCCTGTGTGTCTCTACACTGTGGTCCCACCTCCCCTCTGACCTTTAGATAGAGGTCCTGTGTGTCTGTACACTGTGGTCCCACCTCCCCTCTGACCTTTAGATGGAAGTCCTGTGTGTCTGTACAGTGTGTTCCCACCTCTCCTCTGACCTTTAGATAGAGGTCCTGTGTGTCTGTACACTGTGGTCCCACCTCCCCTCTGACCTTTAGATGGAAGTCCTGTGTATCTGTACACTGTGTTCCCACCTCTCCTCTGACCTTTAGATAGAGGTCCTGTGTGTCTGTACACTGTGTTCCCACCTCTCCTCTGACCTTTAGATAGAGGTCCTGTGTGTCTGTACACTGTGTTCCCACCTCTCCTCTGACCTTTGGATAGAGGTCCTGTGTGTCTGTACACTGTGTTCCCACCTCCCCTCTGACCTTTAGTTAGAGGTCCTGTGTGTCTGTACACTGTGTTCCCACCTCTTCTCTGATCCTTAGATAGAGGTCCTGAGTATCTGGACACTGTGTTCCCACCTCTCCTCGGATCTTTAGATAGAGGTCCTGAGTATCTGGACACTGTGCTCCCACCTCTCCTCTGACCTTTAGATGGAAGTCCTGTGTTCACGCCCAGTGCACACAGTACACAGGGCTGACTATATCATTGCCGACCATGTTATCACCATCTGCATCCTCGCATATAGACATGAAGTACCCCCCATCACACACAAGCGATTAGAGGCCAGAGGACAGGGAAACAGGTGCTTCTCACCAGCCAGGCATATCCACTGTTGGCGGCCTCTTCGTCGTCTGTGATCTGGCCTTCATAGGGGCCAAAGTGCAGGCCCCGTGGCAGATCGGATGCCTCGTTCCACACCCCAAGCCCAGCGTCAGGGATGCCCGACAGCCTGATGCTTAACCCAGGGGGCAGGGTGAGCGCTGAGCGGTTGGCATGCCCCCTTTTCACTGCACAGTCCTTTACAAAGGCTGGGGGCCCATGGGCAGCACAGCTGTCAATGAAGAAGTTCTGACACTGCTCACAATCTGGAGGTGAGAACAGGGATGAGAGGAGGTATAGTGATGATGCTGGTCGTAACGACCTTCAGAAAGAACTGGGGCATTCATGGTATTTGGCCTCGATCCTCCACCCCAAGTCATAAGAGGAATGGGATGACTGGGAGGCCAAATGGTGAGGTGAGGTTATTGGACCAAGGCCTCATAGCCCCTTCTCCTTGAGTGGGCCAGCAGGGTCACTCAGAGGTAGTCGTCATCCTGGGGCTCGCTGACCTCTTGGTACACGTGGCCCTTTCTTTCTCGTAGACTGTAACTCTTCACTACAGTCTCCTTTCTTCTGAGTTCTAAGATGGAGAACAGAAGCTAAGCAAGGCTGATGGGGTCTGGGGAGTTAGTCCCTGTTTTATCAGAAAGTGTGAGATCTCCTACCTGTCCATCTACACACTTTGTTAAAACTTTCTTACATGCATTTTTCAAACTTTTACTTTTGTAATTTTATGTTTTAATGTTACATTATTTATTTAGCTTGTGGGATCTTAGTTCCCTGACCAGGAATGGAACCCACACCCCCTGCAGTGGAAGCGTGGAGTCTTAACCACTTACCCACCAGGAAGTCCCTTCTCTATACTTTAACTACTGGTTCAGGAGACTGAGGCTCCTCACTGACCACAGATGCCCAGTTCAGTGATAGCATCCTGCACTTCCCATTAGTAGGTTTAACTTCACAACATTCTTACTTAGGAAATAGTTCACTGACACATCTACTCAGGAAATATATGCTAAGGGCACATGACACATAAGGCATTGAGCAGAGGTCTGGGCATAAACACTAATAAAGCATGGTCCCTATCATCACAGCTGGATTTATTTATTTATTTTTTATAGCTGAATTTATTGAACTACTTTTAGTTCAAAGAAGTGTCAGCACTTTTGCATTTAATGTAATACTTTCACTGTACTAACACTGTATGAGTTATGTATACTTATCTCCACTTTACAGATGAGCAATCAGGACCTCAGAAAATGTATAAGATTTTCCCAAGGCCCCACTGCTAATTTCATGTCTCAGATCAGTCCAGCTTAAACCCAAGCCTGCCCAAAGTCCATGCCACACACCTGCTTTTCTACAGGGATTAGAAGAACTAATTAGAGGAACTCCCCAAATTTTCTCTTACCAACTTTTTGTCTGGGGTGCTGTCCAGGGGTCCTTGCTTTTCTGGGTGGGGGCACCGGTTTCTGAGCCTGCTTGGAACCACTTGTCTTCAGCAATTTTGCTGCTCCCGGCAATTCCTTTAAACTAGATTCCTTACTTCATGGTGCCCTGGACAGTCACTTCCACGTGAGTAAAAGACAACATGCATTTCTTTAGTTCTTTAGGACTATATGAAGTGTTTTCACATGCATGACTTTAGTTAATACTTAGACAATTCTTGGAAATACCTGGTGGAGGGGCGGTCTGAACACTCAAGTGTAAAATAAGGATCTAAGTGGGTAGTGAATAAAAACTAGAATTCATATCTTAAGGTTCTTTCCCTTCAACTTTCTGCATAAAAGTGAGAGCAAGGCAGGGATAATAGCTGGAGGTCAGGGAAAGGAGAGGGTAAGGGCTCATAGAGAAATCCGGGGGTTTTTCTATTAATTAGTGGCCCTTTGATGGAAGAGAAAATACGGAAAATTACAGAGGGGACAAAACACATCTGGAAAATAAGGTGACAAAGCAGTGAAATTGAGAAGAGAAAAGAAGATCGGCAGAAACACATTTAGACAATAAAGAAAATGAGCTGAAAGTTGCAGGTTGCCATGTCCTCTTAGAGACAATGTTGGAATTAAAGTAGCTGGCCTCATCAATTCTGCTTGAACGAGGCTGTATGACTAGCTGGTTTTCCTCAGTTTCCTGATCCATAAATTGATATACATGCTAATGCTTAATGTTACAGTGGACATGAAATTTAATAACATTTCAACAAATCATTGTCTGAGCTATTTAATACAGTATGAATGTGAGTGTACATCCCTGTCATCAATTTATCTCTTCAACTGCCTCTATATTTGAAGTCTAGCTCACAGATACTATCTTCAGCATTCTTTGACCTTACTCCTAGATGAATGTTTAAATGTGGAGTCACTCATTCACAAAACGTTCAGGGGGCCTCAGGGGCTTTGAGCTGGGCCTGGACTTCTGAGAATTAACGGGTATGGGCTAGGCTCTCAAAGCTCACAACACAGGGCAGGCTAAACAAATGATTTCAAACATGAGAGTTGCCCAATCAGAGCTCAGGGGAAGGACTTATTACTTCCTCTTGCAAGAATGAGCATTTGAAATGATGCCCAGATGATGAGTTTCTACTCAAAAGTGGGTAACCTATGTGAAGTCCTTTAGTTATTTTCTTATTTGTTGCTTTTCAGTCATAAACCTGAGGCTTGTCAGGGTTGCGAGTTGCTTCCTCTTATTGGAGTGGGAGGCTCTGAGGTAGGGATCCTGTTGCCTTCTTCATCTTGAAATGTCCACTCTACAAACTGCCCAGCATGTCCTTAAGCTTCCCTTAGTCAGATGTCTTATCATATCCCTCCCTAGCACAGCACAAAAGAACTAAGGTTGAAAACATCTCTCAGATATAAAGATATATGAATAAACTTCATAGAACTAATGAAGTTTTAATCATTTTGTAAGGAGTTTAAAAAAAGTGCCTTGGATTAGATTGCACTACCAGTGATACTGTGATCTCGGGCATATAATCAATCATTTTTTTTACCTCAGTTTTGTGATCTATAATGGTGATAGCTATATACCTACTTATAGGTACTGTAGGATTGTTTGAAGGTTTAAGTAAGTTTATTCACATAAAATGCTTAAAGTCTGAAATACTGTGAAAATAATGTAACAACAGAACAGGCTACTATGGTTGTTGTTCTTACTAGCTATAAAGGTGGTGGTGATATCAGACAGTGTGCTAAAGATTCAGGACAGGAAGGCCGCAGTCTCCAGGATCTCTGTTTTCTCCTATTCTCACCTGTGACTGGATTCATGAGAAGGACATTTTTGCAACAGGATTTGGGAAATACTCACCTTCCGGTGCTTACTGTGCTCCACTCTGAAGGCCCCTGGAGAAGGTTTGCCTAAAGAGTGATGAGAACCAGTGTTTCGGTTGGCAAGTGCTTCCGCACTCGGCTTTCTAACTCAGGACACAGGACCCTGCGCCGGAGCGCGACAGGGACAAGGATCGCCGGAGGAGGAAGGGAAGGTGGTTTCTGTAGCATCAGCTCCTGTGCTTCCACTGGGAGCACTGCACAATTTTCTTAGAATTAAAAAAAATAAATGAAACTTCATCTGTGTCTCATCTGATGCCCATAAAGTATCCAATAAATTTACTAGACTTTCATGACAAAAGTACTCAACAAAGTAGAAATAGAAGGAAGTGACTGCAATATAATAAAGGTCATATATGAAAAGTCTACCTCTAACATCATAGTCATCAGGGAAAAACTGAAAACTTCTCTAAGATCCAGGAAAAAGGCAAGGGTGCCCATTCTCAACATTTCTATTCACCATAATGTTAGAAGTCCTAGCCAGGGCATTAGGTTAGAAAAGGAAACAAAAGGCTTCCATTTGGAAAGAAAGAAGTAAAATTATGTCTGTTCACAGAGGACATGATTTTATGTACAGAAAAATCTTTAAAATTCCACACACACACAAAAACCTGCATAGAAAGTTGCATGGTACAAAATCAACATTCAAATATCCTTCCATGCATGAACAATGACCATTCCAGAAAGGGAAATAAGAAAACAATCCTATTTATTTTTTATTTTTTCAAAGCTATAGTCAAGATCTAAATTTAAATTTAAAAAAATATTTATTTTTATTTATTTATTTGTGCCAGGTCTTTGTTTTAACATGTGGGATCTAGTTCCTTGACCAGGGACTGAACCCAAGTTCTCTGCATTGGGAGTGTGGAGTCTTAGCCTCTGGACCACCAGAGAAGTCCCAATAATCTTATTTATAATAGCATCAAAAAGAATGAAATAATTGGGAGTAAACTCAAGGAGATGAAAGACTTATACATTGAAAACTACAAAGTATTGCTGAAAGGAATCTGACACAAGTAAATAGAAAGGCATCTCATGTTTATAGATTTGGAGACTTAATATTATTAAGCTGTTCAAAGCAATTTAAAGATTCAATGCAATTCCTATTAAAATCCCAATGGAATTTTTTTCTGATATAGAAAATCCATCCTACAGTTAATACCAAATCTCAGAGGACCCCAAATAAACAAAACAATCTTAGAAAGCTGGAGGCCTCTGATTTCAGAACATATTACAAAGGTACAGGAACCAAAAGAGTATAGTTTTGGCATAAAGTGTGTGCTTAGTCGCTCAGTCGTGTTGACTCTTTGTGACCTTTTGGACTGTAGCCCACCAGGTTCCTCTGTCCAGGGGATTTCTCAGGCGAGAATACTGGATGGGGTTGCCATTTCCTTCTCCAGAGGATCTTCTTAACCCATGGATTGAACCTGCAATTCCTGTGTCTCCTGCATTGAAGGCAGATTCTTCACCTGCCACTGAGGAAGCCCGTTGGCATAAAGACAGACATGTCAATCAATGGAACAGAATAAACAGCCAGAAATAAACAGAAATACACTCTTGGATACATGGTCTAATGATCTTCATCAAGGGTGTCAAGACAATGGGGAAAGTTTAATCCGTATAATGAATGGTGCTGGGGAAACAAAATATACATATGCAAAATAATGAAGATTTTACATCATGAAGAAAAATCAGCTCAGAATGGATTAAAGACCTAAATGCAAGACTTGATAAGACTCTTAGAGGAAAACAAGAGTGAAGCTTCATGACACTGAATCAGCAATGATTTCTTAGATATGGTACCAAGTGTACAAGTATTAGTAACAAAGTAAAAATAGACAAATGAAATTACATTAATCTTAAAACCTCTGTGCAGCAAAGGACACAGTGAACAGAGTGAAAAGGCCACCTACAAGATGGTAGAAAATATTTGTA